CCCCCCCCCAGCAGTTGTGACTGACGCGTTGCAAAGGACCGCACCTATGGCTCCCATCAACCCATGAAGAGGGCAAAGACGGTCCATGGCTCTAGGCCCATTCCGAGCCCGAATACAACCTCCACTGCCACCAATATGGGCAGGTCCAGCTCAAGCAGATCAGGCAAACTACATGCAAACCCACTATCACCTATTGGGCAACCCCAAAGGCCTCGGGCAGCCTCTCTCTCGACTGGACCGTTACGCGCGGACCACAGTATGCCCAATCCCATGATGGTCGACTATCTCAACCAAGCCCCGACCATCCAGCCCGCTTCAGCAGTTTTGTATGCCGATTCCATGAACAACATTATGCAACCTGGAGCTGTCTCACTCTCAACCGTGGTGGAAGGGGGCGTGGAATACAATCCCGAGCAATACCTAGCCATGCAGGGGTTCATCGACATAAACCAGGATCTCTCATATTCCGGCACCATGCCCGTTTCAATCTCATGTCCCCCCGCAAACCATGTCTCATTGCTCCCCAATGTGGTTTTCCCGAACTCCGGGGTCCCTTCCCTTAGTTCGACGCCGACTGTTGAAACAGCAATGAGCCGACAAAACAGCACGGCACACCGCGACGCCGTCCTTGCCGCCAACCTGGACATGGTCCGAATCCATTCGGCCCAGTCCATCGGTGGAGACTACTCCCTTCCCTCACATCCTAGGGCTCATGAGGTAATGTCTGCCAAGGCAGACACGACACTGATGGTGATGGGCGCGAGCCTTGGTGATCCTCGCTTCTATTCGGCTCATCTTGACCACCATCAACCCGCCACTTCGAAGTCAATGGTGAAGTCCGACTCTCAACAGAGCATGCTATCCATCTCGTCCGCAGAGATGGAACGCTCTGAGTCTAGCTCCTCCACCAAATCCCTCAAGCTGCGCGCAAAAGAGGCCCTCCAGCGTCAAATCGCTGCTCAGGCTCGGCCTCTTGAGCCCAAACGCCAAACGCCTCTCAAGCAGTCGCCCGCCTCAACGACCTCTTCCAGCCAACCAAAGGCGACCACCGGCAAGACCCAAATCACGAAATCCCACTACATACGCCCCAAACACCCCAAGGTCAAATGCACGCAGTGCGACGACAATCCAGAGGGCTTTCGTGGCGAACATGAACTGCGACGACACACCGAGGCAAAGCACAAATCCATCGTCAAGAAATTTATCTGCATTGAGCCTGAAAACCCGTCTGCTGTACCCCCGGGCCTCAAGGTGTGCAGGGAGTTGAGAGACTGCAAGCAGTGTAAAGCCGGAAAGAAATACGGTGCCTACTACAATGCTGCCGCGCACTTGAGGAGAACCCATTTCCGGGTCAAGGGGAGTAAGAAGGGTAAGAAGGAAAAAGTCTCTGGTGGTGGAGGAGGCGCGGGAGCGTCCAAGACTGAAGAGGTCCCGGAGAAGAGAGGTGGTAAGGGAGGCGGGGACTGGCCTCCTATGAATGTGTTGAAGCATTGGATGAAAGAGATCAGCGTGCCAATGGAGGAGGCCGGCGCCTTCGCGGCTGAAGGTGAAGAGCTTGATGGTGGGGGAGAGGGAGAGGGAGATGATTTTGGCGACTTTGACGCGGGCTTCTCCTTAGGAGACCGGATCGCGTACGACATGTCTGGCTCCAACCTTGGACAGGGCTTCGACATGGATGCATCCTGGGTATTGGATGGAATCGACCCCGCGTTGTTCCCTGCTTCGCAGGACTCGAACTACGGGCTTGCGAACACACAGCCAATGATGGGGTTCAACACAGTCGACGCTGCTACCATGGCTGTACCAATGGGTTTGGACGGTGGCTATGAACAACAGCTCATGCCAAACATGGTGGTCGCGAGCAATGATCTCCCGGATATGTCGTTCGACTTGACCTTCCAACTGCCACAGGCCTGACGGCAGAGTTTGTCCGCTCGGTTTCATTTCCGCTTTTTCTTCTTGATGACTATTTTTATCTTTCCTTTTCCCTGTATCGTTCGAATGGTTCACAGGCTACGACTGTTTCTTTTAACGGCCATTTATTTTTATTTTTTTCTTTCCTTCATCTTTTGTTTTGCTGTTCACTTTGCACTTCACAGTCGTTACCTCTAGCCAAGATCTCCTAGCGTGTCGGTACGTTACCTCGCCCTTCTGGCTCTGGACGCGGGTGCTGTATAATACACAACGTTATAAGCAGAGGACCATGGTGGGCTATCAGTGCCTTGAAACCACGTCCCTGTCGGGTGGGTAGGGAAAAAGGGGGATTATAGAGGCTGGGTTCATCCCAAGGGCGTTACTTTTGCTTTATGTTTCTGAGCTCAGGTTGGGCGTTTGGCTCTAAAAAAAAAAAAAAAGGGAGTGCTTCCTGTGTACCGCTTGGATGAAGGTCACGGTGGGAGACATCGTACCATGGGTTGCATTATACCTAGACTTGATGTTTCATGATAAAGACTTCAGTTCTACAGTATAACTGTCTTCGTCCGAGGCCCACTTGAGTGTTTTTATACAAGGGCGAACATGTCATCCGCGTCACCACACCTTTTCACCTTGAACGCTTCATTTTGGCCATGTGGTTGGGTCTAGATGTAGGGTAAGCTCACTGACACGTCCTCATGCGTGTCGGACACCGCCAAACAGGCAGTCTGGGTTAAGTAAAATCGTTCAACCGGCAAGGTCACGGTTGAGTCCTGTGTCTCGATGCTATCAGTAGACATGAGGCATATTGTCGTAGGAGCAGGCCTTTCGCAAGATCAAAACATGGTTGTATAGCTCAACACCTCCGCCAAGTCTCCCGTTCTTCTACTCGCCCCAATGTATTTGAAAGCGTCATGGGTGAAATGACAAGGTGATTAGTTAATGGCTTGGATGAGCCACAGAGCTGAACCATGATACGCTTGAAGATATTTCAAGCTGTCATAAAACGAGCAAAAAAAAAAAGAGAAACTATCCACTATCAGATTCGAACTGATGATCTTGCCATGTAGAGATACTGAGTCTAGGGATACTTTGGGTAGGTATTCTTAGGGGATCGGTACTCCAGACACGCTCTGAACCACTGAGCTAAGCGGGCTGGTTGTTGCAATGCTGGGTAAGGATTGAGAATAAGTGTGGAAGAAGAGGGTTTGGCTCAATGGCTTGACTTTATTCTTGCATATCTGGGCGGCGAGCTACAGAGCGAGATGTCCGGATGAAGAGTCGTGGCATGGTATGGGACAGGATGTTCACCTTGCAAGCTTGGGGACACTCAGCTGAGTCATCAAGTTCCTTAACACAGCTGGCGATTAAGCCACTGTAGCCACAGCGGAATCGCTGAAGAATAGTGCATCAGCCACTGAACGTTATCACCACCACCGCTGTGCTGCCGCCATGTTGCACGGTTACACCTTCCCTCATTAACAGTGCGTTGTGGTGGTACACATGGGCGTTCAGTACAGCGTGATGAACGAACATTGACACGCCACCAAGGCTCCTCCGTTAGTTTTGCTGTACAGGTATCGAGGTCAGCTGCCTCGAATATGGCAACTCGAATATTCTTCCGGCGCAACGGTCTTTTCAGAGCTAATGTACCCTTAACTGGTCGAAACCAACTGGTCTCGAACCCCAAATTCTTGTACTTGGCGAACAGTCTTGGTGTCACGATTCTGCAACAAGCCTGTTTGCCTCGACTGCCGATATTGCGACAGGATGACTGCCATACTGACGACCAAACAGCTGTCTCAAACAACGACCTGCGATTGAGGGACACGACTCTGCTACCAACAGTTGGCTGACTCCCCAAAGTGGCAACAAGTTCAGCATTCAAGTCACACCCGAGTCCTTGTGATGGTTCACTGCGTAACGAGTGTGCACGCTGCTGGAAAAGAGGGCTCAAGCGCCTCCACAAATCGACGGAGATACCGGTATGTGTCTTCGTTGTTGCTGAGCTGCTAAAGGTGATGTAGTCGGGTGGGAGGTTCGGAGAAGCAGCCGAATAGTGTGCCGCATGGTCTTGATATATGGACGACCACGATGTGATATCGATGGAAGCGGCATACATCTTTCACAACGTCCTCAACACTCATCGACTATCGCGATGGTCTTGTGCCAATCGCATCTCCGCTTTCTCCCGGTTCCTGTGCACAGAGTGTGCCGTGCAACCTGAGATACCGCCACGGCCTCAATCGTTGGCTCGCACAGAAACTGCTTTTTCTGCTTCTCTCTTGCCTTCCAGGACGAGTTGACCTTTCCACCACGCGCTGTTAGGTCGTTTCCGTCTGGCCTAACATGCTCAATATAGGTTGTCCTACACACCTCATCAAACCTGCCATCCTGCAATTGAACTACACCACGCCCTCCCCCCCACGCCAGGAACGAGAAACATGCTGCATTCAGCCCGACCTGACAGCAATCGAGACACGCAGATCAGAGACAATGTTCGGACCAACAATGGGCTCTGGATCGTTGTCGATAAGGAGGACTGCCCTCGGCGAAAGGGCCTTGCCCTCCCGCTCCCACCTCCGGAAAGCTCGATTGCGGATCTCGTGCGTATCAACGAGGTGGCTTCCCGTCGTGCAGCATGCCGGGCCATGGGACCTGCGCCAGTAGCCCACACTCTTCGTTTACCTCCCTCTCCCTCTCCCTCTCATTCCTTTACCGTATCTATCCTCTTTGTTAGACTCGCTCTGCAGGTTTGGGACCATCCCTTCCGTGCTACCAAGATGATTCGCTTGATCTGTCGAGATCATCCCGATGTGGTATCTTTCTTATAGCAGACATCTGCTGCTTCGAGCGAGCGTGTCTCAAACGTGCATCCACCCGTGCCCTTCCCGAGTTTCTAGATCTTGTCTTGGATTGTTGACGGTGTTGATGCCTTCACGTCCGTCGTTCAGGTGTGTCGTTGCTTACTGAGTGTTTGCTTATACCTTGCTGTTGATCTTATATATTCGTGAGAAAAGCCTGAACCCGCCCAGTCGCCAGCGGCACGACAAAACGCCTACAATGGGTGACTTCGACCCCAGCTTCATCAACGCGTTGAAGCAGCAGAGCTGGTCCCTCTATGCAGTAGGCATGTTCATCATAGTCCTGAGATTGTAAGCCCCCTTCACACCTTTCCCAACATATTCCATCAGACCCTGACAACCAACCCCAGCACCGCCCGACTAAAACGCCTCGGCCCCCGCTCCCTCCAAGTAGACGACTACATCATGCTCCTCACAGCCAGCCTGTACACCACCCTCGTGGTCACCCTCAACGTGATCGCCCAAGGCGGCGGCTCCAACCTTTACAAGCCAGAGGACCACCCGACCTTTACTCCCGCCGAGGTCAAAGAACGCATCTACGGCTCCAAGATCGTCATCGTCTCGGAACAAGCCATGCTCAACCTCGTCTACTCCATCAAGGCCTGCATGTTGGTCATGTACACGCGTCTCACCCTCGGCCTCACCACGCAGAGGCTGGTCCGCTATCTCTCCTGCTATGTCGCCGTGGGCTGGCTGGCGAGCCAGATCGCCTTTTTCGCCGCCTGCAGACCCTTCAAGGGGTATTGGGGTATGCCGCCTCCGGATCCGCAGTGCACGACGTTGGAGCATTACAGCATCGCGCAGGCATGCTTCAACATCTCCTCCGACTCACTCATGCTGTTCGTCCCGCTGCCGCTCATCCTACGCACCACCATGCCACTGAAGCAAAAAGCAGTCCTGAGCGTGATCTTCAGCATGGGCCTGTTCGTCATCGTGGCAGCGCTGCTGACCAAGATCTTCAACCTGAGCAACGTCTGGGACCCGCAGTATATGCTGTGGTATGTGCGCGAGGCCAGTGTGGCGGTCTATGTGAGTAATCTACCCATGATCTGGCCGTTGTTGAGGGAGTGGTTCCCGTGGTTGAGCGGGTTGACTCCTGGAGGCACGAGCAGTGGCGGGAAGGGGAGGAAGGGGAAGTATGCCGGGGATGGGAGTCGAGGTGCGGGAGGGACGTATGTTCAGTATGGCGGGAGCAGGAATGGGCATGAGACGGTTGTGGGAGGGAGACGAGGGGAGGTTGGGATGGGTGGGAGTAGGACGAGGACGGGGAGGGTGAATAGCCTGGGGAGTCTGGATAGTGCGTATGATCTGGAGTTGGTGCTCAAGGATGTCAAAGGGAGTAGGGAGAGTAGGAAGTATAAAGGGGATGATAGTAGTAGTACGGAACAGATTGTTCCGGCGGTGAGTGATGATGGTCTTGTGGAGAAGAGGGCGGTGGCAGGGAGCAGGGAGAGTATTGGCGTTGCGATGTGTAAGATGGGCGGGATCCAGGTTGAGCGAACGGTTGTTGTCAGGGAGGAGAGTCATGTTGACAGGGATAGTGAATATGTCGTGGGTGTGGGAACTAATGATGGATTGTTTGACTGGCAGAGGACGAGGAGAGGAGCTGAGCATAGGGCTGATGCTAGGAGGGGAGGGGATATGGGTTATTGTTGACGCTGGAAGGGTAATATGATGATGAACGGATCTTATGGTAAAATTGGAGGATCTTGTGGTTTCAGCGTATACATAGCGAACTTAGTCTTCTCTTGCGTTGAATAATACACTTATAGTTTTAGGAATTGTCGTTTGGGTTGAAAAATGGAGGGACGCGGCCACCGAGTGATACTACAGACACCACCATCTCGAAGGTACTTCCAGGAATCCTGTGAACCCCGAAAGACCCCCATCAGCCTACAAAACAGCTCAAAGCGGTACTCATCAACAAAAGTCTACCTTGTTTCAACACTCCAGGCCCGTAATTGGCATTGCCACATAAGCCTTCCTCTGGAAATCAAAGTTGGAGCCCACTCGCTTGCTTCCAAGTGCCTCAACTTCGTTCCTTCCAAACCCCTAGCTCAGCGTACAGCTTCCATTCTTCCTCCTACCACAATTCGCAGCAGCTAACCATTGAACCCATATTCACCGCCGCTCAACGCGGTGCAGAGTAGTACATGACCATAATCGGAACCATGACCACCAAGCAAACAAGTAACGTGACCAACACCCAGCACGCGATAAAGTCCCACGAAGGGCGTTGAAAGCCTTCGACAGCCGCGGGATACGCCATGCCGAAGAGCGTGGGCGGTAAGTTTACCTCAGCGTCTGTAGCATGGTCGGGCGACGAGTCCGAGGCGGGTATCTCGTTCAGCGCCAGCTTCAGGTCTCGATGGTAGTTGTCGTCGACGGACTCGGTGGGTGGATCGGTGCGTTGTGGGCTGCCGCTGGCGTAGTGGGGTGGAGGGGGGGTGACGATGTTGTAGAGGGGGAGCTCGTGGTCGGACATTGTGGGTGGGCTTGGTTTGGGTGCTGGCAGGGAGGGGTGGTGGGATTTTTGGTCGTGGAAGTAGAGTAGTACAGTTGGAGGCTGGTTTAAGTAGATTTTACCCAAGTGATGTGCAAACAGAGAGTGTTTACTGGTTGATACAGATACTGGTAGAGCTGGTGAATAGCCGTGGTGGTCGGGAGAACGAGACTTTGCCTGGAGACAGTGAATGTAAGCAGGTATATCAGCCAGCTCCGTGGAGTGACAACCGAGTAGGTACAGAAACCTACAGGTAGGTGCCTTGTTGTCATCTTGCCTCGATCGCAGTCTACAAGAACATGGAAGTGGAAGGCACCAAAAGGGAAGGAACGCCCCTACAACGGCACCTACATGTATGAGGCAGGTTCTGTGGGGCCACTCTCACCTCACTTACATGTCTTCAAGTTACTGATGCCAGTAATTACAGGTGCTTCCAAACAATCGCCGTTTGCCTGGGTCCATCTGAATCAACAGTGCTCGGGTGCTTCAAGTGTGAAATACATTTGCTCCTGTTACCAAGACAGAAACATACAGCAGCAGAAAGTAGGAGTGACAGGCTTGCAATGTAGCGAGTCATCGTAAGGGAGGCACATAATACATCGGTCGGTTGTTGCCAAGTGAAGCAGAATAACATAGTCTGTTTTGCTCATGATACTTGCTCAAGGTTCGTTGCTGCGGTTCGCATATAATGAACTGCTTACCAGGAGAATGAGTTGTATTAGCCTTAGTACAGCCCGATCGACCCCTCGCGTTATGGTGTCTTAGACTTATATCACACAATCCAGCACC